CAGGGGGGGTGGGAGGCAGCTTTGTTTTTGTACCGGGCGGGGCGGGAGGGGATGGGAGAGACGGCCGGAAAATAACAATGGTGAAATAGAAGTGGAAAAAAAAAATGGGGTAGGTAGGGTTTGTGGAACGATGGAAAAATAAATTGGAAGAATTTAACAGCTGTTGTAAAATTACCCCCTCGGAGCGGTTGAAGGGTGGGCAGATGAGCTTATGTTTTTGTTTTCTGCAGGAGGCTTTGGCAGGGAGAGTGAACTGAAGTTGGGAGGTTTAAGACAGGTCCTAAGAGCAGCTTTTATACCCTGGATCAGCTCTGAAACCGAAAACAGGAGAGTTTCCAGTGCACATTGCAGCACAGCCCTTCCAGCAGCCACTCACATGTGTATTTTTAGGGCACATCCCCAGGCAGGAGAGGGATCTGTGTTACCCTTCCCGCGGTGGGACGTGTCCTTTTGTTAATTCCAAAAGGAGTGCAGTTGTTTTGGCTTCAGCGCTTTGTTAGGCAATTGTTGTTCGATTAGGGTAACACGATTAAACATATCATTGATGGAAATTAAGAAATAACTGCGGGGAAACAGTTGCAGGGCTGCTTCCCAGTTAATGACAAAATGAGTAAGAGTTAACAAGATAATAGGATTTTTTGCATTATCAAAGGTACAGCGAGCTTGAGAGGAAGTTTTAAAATAATACATTTCAATTTTCATTGAAAAAACAAAAGAATTTAGTTATGAGACAGAAAAATACTCTGGAAATGGATATCCCCATTGACAGATTGAGTGTATCACCATGGCTGGTCCTGTTGGGATGGTTTGGATTGTTGACATTGTCTAATGTTGTTCTTAATAATTAGTGTAATTGAAGCAAGGCAAAGCATAAAATACACCACCTGCCATTCTTTATATAAGAAAAGGCATGTTCCTTTATAAAAAATAAAAAAAATATGCAAGTGATACTTGGCAAGTTTGCATTATTTTCCAAGACTGATCAGTAGGTCAGGGAGGATTTAAAGTAATGTGTGTTAAATTGGGTTGTTTCAGTACTTTTGAACCATGGCAGATTGTGAATGACAACTCCCTTTTTATTTTATTTAATTTTTTTTTTTTAATGGGAAAGCTTTTGTGATGGGGACAGTCTGGGCGTGCTGGGCAGGTCTATAGGGAGGAGCTGATTTTGAACATTCAGTTCAAACTTAGAGGAGGGGAAAGTGAATGAGGGGCCACCACATTCCCTCCTCCTCCTTGGGGTGCAAACCAGGGAATCAGACTTTGGTAGGATTGGCTTTTACAGTGCAGAATTGTAAGTGGCAGAAGCTGAGTTAAGCTTTTTTTTGCTGAACTTTAATTAGCAGAGCAGTTTTTCTTTATTGGTAAGTGAAGGAACATTTTATGTGTTATTACTGATAAATTGAGTTCTCTTTGTAATTTGTTCTGAAAGCAGAAATTACTTCTTTATTTTTCCTAGCTGAAATGACATTTCCTTTATCACTCTTCACCTCTGTGATTTTTTTGGACTTATGTACAGTGTGTATTTTCCCTCTTTTAATTCATACAGGCACTGTGCCTTTTTAGGTGAGCCAAATGAATTTTTCTGTGCTAGAGGCTTGTTAAAGTCATGGCTTAAAGACTTGAAAGGTTGTAATTGCTGATTTTGTTGGGTTTTTTTGGGTCTATTTTAGGATTTTTTTGTTTGGTTGTTTGAGGGCTTGTTTTTACCTGTTCCCAGCAGACTAAAACTTAAAGGGAGATGTAGAAGCAGCATCTTATTCTCTAATTTATCCCAGTTCTGCTTCTTGATGTGCCACGGAGGATCCTTTTCCTTTGTGAAATCTCAGTGGTTTCACAGAAGTTCCTGCTGGGCTTTGGGATCAGTGTGAGTGGATCTGGTTGTAGAGGAAGGGCTGTGGTTTGCAGAGAACTCCTGCCCAAAGCCTGGATTTGTAGCGGAATTCTCATCTCTAAAGATGTAAGGCAGAGTGCTGGAAAGCTTCAAGAGGGGACATTCCCAGCTGGGTAAGGTGCAGGTCTGGTGCTTGAGAGATGTGGAGAGCCTGATGCAAATCACTTCACCTGTTGGTGCTTTTTGTGCTTCTTTTGGAGGAGTTTAAAGTAGGGATGGTGAATCTCACTGATTGTGAGGAGTCCTGATGCCTGTGGATGAAAGAGCCCATGCAGGAGCTGGGCAATAATATTAATGATGTTTTCCAGCTCTGTTAATTTAATAGTCTGATGAAATATTTTCTTCATTGTTTGCAATTTTTTTAAAATAAAATCCCCTTTGCATTTATAGCTGGATAGTCTTTCTGAATTTCAGGGTATTGGTTTGTTTCTCTTTTTATTTGTTATTTACTACCATCTTATATTTGCTACTGAGCATTATTCTTGGTGTTTTCATTTTAGTAGTGGCAGAAACAATTGCTGGAGCAGTTCAGGTTATTAAAGCCCTTGAATCTCTCACCTCAGTGGCATCCCCTCCTGAGGTCAGTGGGACCTCACAGGTCTGGCAGCAGCAGTGAAATCTAAATTAACAAAGTTTTGGAATTTGTTTAAATGCATCCCCTGTGTAGAGCCTGAGTAGCTGGGGAAGGTCATGGGAGCTGGAGCAGGAGAAGGAAGGAAGGAGGGATGGATGGAGGGATGGATGGATGGAGAGATGGAGGGAGGGATGGATGGATGGAGAGATGGATGGAGGGAGGGATGGAGGGATGGAGAGATGGATGGATGATGGATGGAGGGAGGGATGGAGGGATGGATGGATGGATGGAGGGATGGATGGATGGATGGAGGGATGGATGGATGGATGGAGGGATGGATGGATGGATGGAGGGATGGATGGATGATGGATGGATGGAGGGATGGATGGATGAGGGATGGATGATGGATGGAGGGATGGATGATGGATGGATGGAGGGAGGGATGGAGAGATGGATGGATGGATGATAGATGATGGATGGAGGGATGGAGGGATGGATGGAGGGATGGATGATGGTTGGATGGAGGGATGGATGATGGATGGAGGGAGGGATGGATGGATGGATGGAGGGATGGAGAGATGGATGGATGGATGATGGTTGGATGGATGGAGGGATGGATGATGGTTGGATGGATGGAGGGATGGATGGATGATGGATGGATGGAGGGAGGGATGGATGATGGATGGATGGATGGATGGATGGATGATGATGGATGGATGGAGGGAGGGATGGTGTGCACTGCTCCAGCTCAGGGAGAGAGTGTTGGACAGCTGGAATTCCCCTGCCTGGGGCATCAGCAGGCCAAGAATCCTGTTGGGAATTTGAGAATCCCAACAGCCTCAGCCCTGTCCTGGCGTTCCTCCTGGCACTGCTGGAGCTTTCTTCCTGGAAGGAAGCAGATCCCCAGTGTTCCTGTCTGTGCAGTGCTGCCAGTGCTCATCATTCCAGGGAAAATTCCAGATTTTGTAATCCCAGCCCTCCCTCCTGCTCGTGTTTCAGCTGTTGAATCCTTTCTCACTTCTTTTGCTGAGATGCTGTGGCAAAATCTCCTTTTCAGTATGTATTTTCCCCCCATAAATGGAAGGATTGTGAGTTAGATTTTCAGAACAAACAAGACCTTCCTTTTTCATTCTTGTTTGTCTTGCTATCTCTGTGGCCTTTGGCAGCAAGGCAGCTTTTGTGTTTATATGTATCAATGACATATATTTAGGGACATGGGACTTTATGTGTTGGATTTCTTCCTCCCCTTAGTGCAAACTTCTGTGGTTGCCATTCTTTTTCAACAAGGAAGAGAGATTGTTGTAAAATAGACTGCTTTTTCCAAAGTTTCCATCAGCATTGGTATGGAATTAAAAAGAAATCTGAAGGAATGTTTGATCTTCTTTTGGTCTTCTAGAGATACTGACTGGGAAAATAAACATTTGTTGTCCCCAGATGTTTTGGGGTGGGAGAAAATAACTGAACTTCATAGACAGGGAGATTTGGAGTCTGCAGGGTCAGAGCTGCTCCCCAGGAGCAGGCCCAGCTTTGGGGGATTTCATGGTGGTGTCACTGATATGTGACTCAGGTTCCTTATTCCAGTCTTGCTTACTGAGCTTTTCTCTTCACACCAATGTTTACAACAGAAGCAATCCCTCATGTCTGAGAAACACAGAAAAGTGAATTTTATTGTAGGAAAAGAAGGGATTGGGAATTGAAGCAGGGAGATTGTAACTACCCATGGGTGAGAATTTGTTTTTCTGTTGCATTTCTATTGCACTGCCAGTTGAAGTTAAAGGATACTTAATGGGGCTATAACGTCATACCCAAATATTCCTCCTTAATTTTGTATGCAAATTCATTGTTGTAAATTAGAAATGGACTGGTTATTTATCCAGTCTTTTCTCAGAGTCCTCTATAATACCAAATTACAGCCTTATTACAGGAAATCCAGATAAGAAATGATAGATTTCAATCTTTTCCTCCTTAAATGTAATTTTTCTATACTGAGAGATTCCATTTCGGTACTATAAAGTTTGAATGGTGACTGTGGCCCCATCCTATTTCCAAATGAGTACAAACTATCAGATTTTCTGAGTGGGATGGAGTCTTTGTCAGATGTTAGAAGGCTTGAACCTTAGCAGGAAGGTAATTTAGAATTAATAGCACTGAACTGCACAGGCTTTCCAAGGTGCAGGGGATACACAGTGCTGCTGAGCTGGGAGCAAGAAGTTTTGTAGGTGATGTTATGTGGAGATGTGACTGGGAGCTGTTTTACCATTTCTTGCTGTTAGACCTGGGAAATATCCCTTGCATGAAGAATGATGTGTCTGAGGTGAACTTTTTGAATCTTTGGCTTATGTGTGGTTTGGGGAAATAAGTTTTGTGCTCCTGTTTGTAAGCAGTAGCAAGGCTAGTGATTCTTGGAGCTGTGATGCTGAAATATGGGAAGAAAAAGAACAGTAGGTTTGTGTTTGGTATGAAATTTTGAATGTTGCAGCGGCAGGAAGTGAAGGATAGAAATGTGAGCGCTGTGTGGACTCTCTGAGCTGGTTTTATGGTAGTTAGGGTAAGTGTTACTTAGAAATGATCTTTCAGTCTGTGAATTTCATGGTCTGGGTTTTTTCCCCCCATAGTTATATATAGCAAAAATACTGTATTCATCAAAACACTAAAAATTATGGTGCTTAAATATGCTTAAAAGGTCTTTCATAGCCCCTCAGACCCCACTGGCAAGAGGGAAACCTGTAACATGAGCTGTTTTTGAGATTTTTGGTTGTTAGTAATGTGGCACGAGTGTTTAATTTGCTGGAAAATGTTTAGTGGTTCAGCAAACCAAGAAGGTAACAAATCTTTGTGGCCATCATAAATGGAGAATGCCACAAATGAAAAGCACAGTGGTTTTGGCACCACCTAAAATTAACACTTCTTCCCTGTGTTTCTTTTCACTTAATGTAAGATAGTCTGTTTTTTTTAAGTGAAAATCTCATTTTCTCCTGGGGTAATTTTGGGAGGACAGGGATGGGCAGTTGGCCTCTGTTCCCAAGTAATGTTCCTTCATGGGTCTCAATAGGCTGGGATTCCCAAATAGTGTTGGACAGCCACAATAGCTGCCTTGCATCTCCTCCTCTGCTATCTTGGGAGCCAGAATTTGTTGGATTTCTCTCATTATCTACACAGGGAGGTCATTAAGGGGGATGTTTTTTGCATACTTGGGAATCTGTGCTAAGGCAGCGCTGTGGGTCTTTTATTCCAGTGGTGTTTTTGATTATGGTTGTTTGTGTGAATGGTTTTGAGGTAACTGTGCTCTGGCCCTATCTTGAGACACTCACACATTTGGAATGGTGCAGGACATTTGTTTTGTCGTTTGAACTGACTGATATTCCTTGGCTGTAGCTTTGTTTATGTTTGTTTGGCTGGGCTAGACAGCGCTCCTCTGCTTCCCAAGTTTTGTCAGGATTATGCCTAAACCACAGCAGGATCATTCCTGCTGATGCAGTTCTTTAAGTGGGGTTTCAGATACGTGACTGAATCACTAATGTTCGTTTCAAAAGGAATGAGGAGGGAGAGTTCTGTTGGGAAATGTGTTCTGGATGCACGGCCTGGTGTTGATTGTAGGGTTTGCTGTGAGGGGAGAGCTTGGGAATCCATATTCGAGTCTTGAAAGGGTCTAAAGATGGAACCTGTTGGGGCTGCCATGGTCAGGCATTTGAGGAGAGGAAACAGGGATGTTGTAAAAGCATTATCCATATGCAGAAAGGTTAATGTCATTAAAATACAGAGTTACAAGACAACTCCCCAAACTAGGCTTAGCTATATTATGGCAACCTATTTGAAGCATGGTCATGTAAAAATAAATTTCAGGGGTTATTTACAACAAGGATAGCAGTTTTTAGAGGTGGAGCGTTGGTTATTGCTTTGAACTTTGAAAACTGTGCACAAAAATACCATGTACAGTTACATAATAGGCATGGTTTGGGGAAAGATGTGTTTGGAGGATCTGTGGGTGGCATGATTGTGTTATTAAATCTGTTACGGTAGGACCCTTTTGTGCTAAGCCCTGGAAATGCCTAACAAAAACCTCAGTCACAGTATTATTCACTACTATAATAAATTAAAGTTCATTATAGAGCTGCAGTGAAGGCTGAGGTATATTGAAAGAAATTTTTCCTGTTTTGTGCCACAGTGTTCTGGCTGATTCTGGCTCAGTTTGTGACCTGTGCAATGTACCTGATATTCAGCATGAAGATTTTTTGCAATCTTTTTGCCTTTTGAATGAATTGAAAGAGTAATTCAGATTTTGCATCTCAACCAGCAAATAAACTTGGGGCTTTTGTTTTTTCCAGCTGTAAAACTGTGATAGATACCTGTAGCATCTGCACTAGCCCTGGGGTTCAGAGCTGTATTTTCAGCTAGATTTGCTCCCAGCAGAGTGTTGCCTTGCAGTGTCAGGTCAGGGGTGGAGAAGGTTCTTGTGTGAAAGTGAAAGTTTGACATTTGAGGGGAGACTGTTTCAGCATTGCTACAATATCCTGTTAAAAAGAGAAAATGTGGATTGAACCACTGAGCTTTGGAGCTGCTGGGGGTGGGAAGAGTTTGCATGGGGTTTTTGAAATGGGAATGTGCTGTGATAAATAATTTCCTAGTTTAAAAACACTTTTATTTCTGAAATCCAAATACAGCTGTATTAGATGGAGCTGTGAATTGAACATGAGACTGAGAGTTAGGAACTGCTAATTTTGATTCTGTCTCTGATTAAATTGGTAAATTTGGCAAATGAACTATGGTCAAGTGCTCTCTGCAGACGGTGCTGCGTGAGTGACAGGTTCAATGAGCACTGGAGAACTTTGTGATGTGATTTTGCATTTAAACTTCTGAAATGTATTTGTAAATCTGGTGATGTGTTCTGTGTTGAAATGATGCTTGGGAATCTTCTATGAGTCCCCTTTGCATTCCTTGGGAACACAGTTTGGCACTTGCGTGGCATTTTGGAAATGAGGTGACACACGTTTAGTCACACTGACACAGATGTGACTGTACCATAGAGCAGCCATTCCTCAGAGGGGACTGCTGGCACTACCCTGTGACTCACTGGAGAGTAATATCAGGAATTGCAGGACTGGGTAAGTCCTTAAGATGAGTAGTGGTCATTTCTTGGTGAAAATTATTACTAAACCCTAGTGCAGAGACAGGAACAAGGCCATGTTCTGTTACTCAAGTGCTGAGAAGAGAGGTTTTGACACAATCAAGGATAGTTTGGAAAACTGTGGATGATGATGTTTAAACCAGCTTTTAGAATGTGGATATTCTTCTGTAAATTTGAGTTTGAGGTTTGAGTCTTGCAGGTTGGTGCTGCTCCATGGAGAGCTGGCTGCTTGTGCAGTGCTGCTTCTTCCCTTTGTTTTTCTCCAGCAAATTTCATTAAGAGAAGCAAAGATTAAATTACTTTTCTAATGCATTTTTTTTAAAGTAAGTAATTGGTGATGTTGTTATGGGGATAAAATGGTAACCATGGGACAATATTTCAATTAAAATGTCCTCATCTTGGGTAAGTGTGAGAAACTCTATTCTCAAAAAGCAGTGTGAACCTAGAGGTATATGGAGTACAAATTCCTGTTGTTAACCAGTTATTATGAAAGATTGTTTACGTAAAGATTTTCTATGAAGGAGCCAAAAACTTTAGGTGGGGCAGAAGCACCACCTGTTATTATGTTACCTGGTGCTTACTGTGACATACTCCTCATTTCACTTGGTTATTGTTTGCCAGATTTTAATTATTTGGGTTGAAATTTCCCATGGTAGGTGTCTTTCATAATCTGGCTTTTTGGGTGCTGTTGAGGAGAGAAAGGTTCTGCCAACATAATTCCACCTTTTCTAGAAATTAGGCAAAATATTTTCTTGCGTTCATGCTAAATTAGAAAAGAAATAATCTATTGACCTGTAGTGCTGCTTTGTGCAAAGTTGAGATGTGTTAGTGTATAATGTTTCTGCCAAGGATGTTCTTGTGATCAGCCTTGTGAAAATCTTCTCAGTGCTGGTCAAATCAGCATTAAGTGCAAATGTAAAAGATAATCCCAGCAGTGAATATGCTTCAGCCTCAGCTAAACAGGATTTCTGTGTAATTTGAAGGCTGGATCTCCTGCATTCCTCCCTGGTGTGATTTTGGATAAAAAATGAGAGTGCAGAAAATTCCCTTTCTGTTCTCCTGATACCAAGTTCCTCTTTCTCCCAGCTCTGCCTTTCTCCAGCACAGAGGAAGCAGCGACTGGATTTAAACAGAAAGTGGAAAATGCAGATTTTTACAAAATTACATACAATAAATGTAGAGATGGGGGTGGTTGAATGAGGAGAGGAGATTGAGAAATATTAGTATTCGAAAGAAATAGAAGGGAGGCTGTGCAGTGAGGGTACATATGATTTATTTTATAATTATAATACATTGTTTGTTGGAATACAGTTTTGCTATCTGCATGAATTAGAAAGTGTTTCTGAAACGGAGTAGGGAATAGCAAAAAAGGAGAAGGCAAATCCCAGTTAATCCCCATCTTTGCTAAACTTCATTTTCTGTATTTCTAGTGAACTTTCCCATGTTGTGATGTAGAGAAGTGTTGGATACTCCTAAGTCACTCTGCAGACATGAGGTGCTCTGTGTTGGTGATGTGAAAGGAGTGTACAGTACAGGCAGAGCAGAATGGGGAGAAATCACTTCTAGATCTCTTCATGTGAATATAAGGAGTTTATAGAAACTTTTGCCTTGTGTGTTCTTATCTTAATTCTCTGTAAAATGGGAATATTGTCAGAATGATAAAGATACTTTCTTAATTCTTGTAAAGTGGTCAGTCATAGTAGCGCAGGCATTATCAAAAAGTTAATGACAACATTCAAATGCTGTCTTTTGAATAGGAATTGAGCAGCATGCAGTAAATAAGGCCTAGGAGCAGTGCTGAGGTGTTTCACTGGACATCCACGAGGCAGCAGCCTCTGCTGTGCCCACTCCTTGTGCCAGGTAGCCCTTGGCCAGTGTGCTGTGACCAACACAGTCACAGGCAGTCTCACAATAGTGCAGGCACACAGAGGGCCAGCAGGAGCTTGTACAGATGCTCTTGTCCTCACACAACCTCAGAGTATCCAACTTTGCAGCCCAGTGTTTGTTGTGTGCAGTTAATGAATGCAGTACGTGTGTGTGTGTTTGCTTTGTTTAACAGGAACCTGTCTCTGTTGGCTGTGAGTGGCTCTCACGCAGCACCAGCACAGGTCACATCCACGCTGTGCTTTGCCTGGCCAGGCATTCTGCTTGGTTTCATCAGGACAGGTGATGCTTTCAGGCAGCTGGGTGAAAAAGGATCTTTTGAAAGGCAGGATGGGGAGGTGTTTGGGATGTGCTGGATGATGGGGTGGTTGCAAGTGCTGAGGCCATGAGTTATTTCCAGATTTTTGAGCCGTGTCTCAGTGTTGCTGCTGCTGGCTGCACAGATTGTCCTTCTGCTGCTATTTCCAAAATAAAAATAAAAGAGATTAGTTAAGTGTTAATAATCACTTAGTAGTCTGTACAGAAGTCATAACTGGCATGCAAAAAAATGTAACTAGTTAGTATCTGTGATGTATGTAAAGTGGTTTCAAGCCTGCAGAGGATCCAGCTGCAGAAGGCATTTGCTCTTAAATCTCAATTGCCTGTGTCATTATGTGAATGATAAACCACCCACAGGCTCCTGTTCCTTTCCCAAGAAACGTGGCTGTGTTTTTTCTGTACTTTAGATTTACAGGATCAAACTCAAAGCTTCATTTACGTGGCCAGAGATCATTTGCCCTCCTCATTTATGGTGCTGTCTGATTTTTCAGTGTGGAAGGATAATCTGAGCATTTAATGGCTGAGGGCATCATGAGCCTCTTCTTTGCCCATTTTCCCTTCCCCAAACAGGCAGATCATGTTCCTCAGAGGCCTTGGAGCAGGATTCCTGCTGCTGTTCTGCTATGGAATAAAACCTTGAGATGTGCTTGCCTCATTCTGTATGCTCCATTTCAGATTTAACATCATTTTTGGAATTGAAAGTAGGGTCATTTTGCCTGGAGTTGTACAACATTAGCCAAAGTAATTCAGTTACTTCAGAAAACTGATTAGATTGTCCTCTCTCAAGGGTGGAGGCTTTTCTATTTGTTCTGTAAGGTGTGCAGTGCATTTCTGAGAACTCCTTAACTGCTATTACAGACTTCAGCCATAATGGCAATAAATGAGTGCATGAGATCTCTGCTGTTATATTTTTCTTAAAAAAAAAGAAAGCCAAAAGCACCTCTCATATAATTCTTTCTTTTACACCCTGTGTATGAAAGATGCACCATCCTTTTCATCTCTGTTACGTAGGTACAGTGCAGAGTCATTATCTACTCAAATTTTATTAAATGAGTTTTTTAGACTGAGATATTTATGATGTGTATGGCATGGCAGTAGGAAAGTGCATTTTTTTTCCTGTATGTCTCCATAAGTCATTTCTGTGTTTTGTGCAGCTCTATTTTATTCCATCCTGGAGGCTTGAATAAAGGGACTTTGGGTTTTTATTTTATTTTTTGTCTCAAGGCAAAGATTGGGTTATTTTACCACAGCGGGTAAGGAGAATAAATAGATATTTAATTTTATTTTACTGATCTAAAGGTATTTTAGTGGTATTTGGTAATAATACAAAACCAATTGACATGCAGGGATGCAGGCATGCCTTGAGATGGGATCACAAGAGATGCCAGAGCAACTCTCTAATATGATTCAACAGTAGAGAGATTGCTATTCCCTGTTTTAGTGTGTGGACTGACAAATGCAGTTTGTTTGCAGAGTTTTGAAATTTTAGTTGAATTCCAGTGTCCCATGATTTCTAACTGCCATTAAACATGTTGGCATGTTTACAGTAGCTAACTTTTTAATTGTGTCATATTCAATATATTAATTCACATTAAACCCCAGGTGTTTCCATATCTGTATAAAATAAAGTATCTTGTCATTTTTTTCTGGATAATTTTGAGTGAGAGGGAAACTTAATCACAGAGATTGTAGCAATACCAACATTGGGACTTCCCAAACATTACTTGAATATATTATGGAAATAACAAATTTTTGATGTGTGAATTACTTACATCTCAGTTTACCAATAACAACTTTGAGAAAGGGATGGGATGTGCTCTGCTCTGGTCTGCAGTATAAAAAGTTTGGGAACTCTGCTTAAACTCTCCAGTATGGATACTGGAGCAGTTAAACTGATGAATGCAGCCTATGGCACTGACTGTTATGGGCAAGAAAAATAAATAAGACTTTTCTTTCAGTGGTGAGTGACAGTTTACCACAGCTCTCGATGGCAAATGGCAGCACGTGGCAGTAATTGATGGGGTAGCTGATGTCTTGGTATCAATAAGAGGCTGAGTTACAACTTAACCTTTCCCTGGCTCTGTTATCTGTCTTGTTACACATTTTTCATGAAAACTGCAGCATCTTCAAGACCCTTCAGACTTCTGGGAAATTCAGTTCCAATTGACTCGAAGCTCAGAAGTTACTGAGGAAGAACAGAGCAACCAGCCTCGTAAATAAATCTAAAGGTCTCTTCTTGCTCGTAAAAGGAATTGCTGGGAAGTTCTGATAAACCAGCTGTCTTTTCTTGAGTATTGCCTGAATTTATTACATGTTTAAAACTTCTCTCCAGTTTGGTGGCCAGCTTTTCCAGTCTGTGAGACGGGCTGAACAATCCCAAAGGACTGGGAAACAGAGTGCTTGCATTTGTGTGGATGAGTGGAGTTCTGCCGATTTTCGGCTGTTTGGATGGCCTGGAAAGGCCCGGGGTGGCCTTGGGGCAGCCCGCGTTTCAAAGGAACAGAAGAGGCTTCAGTTCTTTTCTCGGTCTCGGTGTTTATTAATTGTTTATCTAAAAGATTTTCTCTCGGCCCGACAGAGCTCTGCTCAGCAGCCAGCCATGAGCACACTCCCCTGCCCTCCGGGCAGTCACCTATTTTTATACCCAAAGTTACGTGTACAATATTTATCATTTTTCCCCAATACCTTTCACCCTTATTGCCCAGTGCACTTTTAGTAATGACCAATCCCAAAGTGCCACCATCACCACAGAAGATGGAGGAGAAGAAGAAGAAGAAGAAGGACAGGACACGCCCCAATTCCTCCATCTTACTTCTCTAAACCCCCCTGTACATAAATCCCAAACCCTGTGTCTCACCCTCTAATTAACTAATCCCTTCACCATTCACCCCGGTGAAATCCTCCTATCCTCATACAGGTGTCGTCTCCTGTGTAGGATCAAAGTCCAGCCACCAGACACTTCTGGCAACATTCCAGGACTCCCGAGCCCCCCAAGGGTGCTCTCGGTGGCACCTCAGTCCTGAGGTGCTGAGATCCCACAGAGTTCCTGCCCTGCTCGCCTGCGCCAGCCTGACCGCAATAGGCAGGGGAAGGGCAAATCCATCTCCTGCCTTCCCTTCCCGCAGGACAGAGGGCTGCTGGCAGGAGGACACGGCTGAATGGCCTTGGCAAGGAGTGTTTTGTGCTTATTTCCCTCAGCAGAACTGTTGGAAGGGTTCTGGATTGTAATGGGAGGCAGCTGGAGAGGCTCTTCCCCTGCACGTTCCCCATGGCAATGGGGCTCGTTCATTCGCTTCGTTCTGCCATTCCCAGGATGTGGCTCTTGAAGTAAATTCAATTGACAGTAAATCCCTACCAGTCTCACTGTAGGACTGCAAGTTGAACATCATTGCTTTAGCATAAATCTTTACAAGAGATGTTAATGTTTAGTTAAAATATGCAAATATTTACTGACTTGTCTACTGTTTGTCAGCTTGGCATGTGAGACCTTGGATCTGATCCTTCTGTCTTGGCAGACATTGGGAATTTTGCCAGTAACATTAATAGGAACAGCATTGTGCCCTCTAATCTGTTTGTTTATGAAGTACAGCGAGAGTTATCTGGCTAGATGCTTTACAGTGAATTGAAAAAGCATCTGTTTGAAATTTTTTCAGGGACTGTCACATGCTTTAACTTATTATTATCTCAGTGTATGGACCCTTTGATTCCATGAAACACATCAGTAAGATGTGGAGCATGGAAGTGCACAGTCATGAGTTAAACTGCCATGAAACACTGGATTTTAGTTCATGATGTTCTCTCCTCCTACAGTGATTTTAATTTGAAGTTGGACTCATCAGACTGTGGAGTAGTTCTTCAGAGCCTCCTGTGCACCAAGCAGGCGGAGTGTTTACTTGGAAATAAGTGACTGTGGATCACGTTGTTTATCACTCTTCCTCTTCAAGCTGTCCCTTCTGCCTTCCCCAGCCCCCTCTGCAGTTCTGGAGGGGAAACATGCAGCTTTATTTGGAGTTTGGATTTTAGTTCCTCACTTCATGTTTTTTTATTCCCTTTGGCAAGAAGGTGTGATACTCATTAGGAATACTGAGCCTGAAAATCATTAGTTGTAGGGGGAAGAAAAAGAATTGACATGGTTAGTTGTAAAAGCCACCAAGGTTTAAGTTGGAACTAATCAGGTCTTTGAAATAATATTTTGTGGAAGATAAGCTGAGTACAGAATCACAGAATTTCTAGGTTGGAAGAGACCTTTAAGATCATCGAGTACAAATTGGCTTTCAATGAAATGCAAGTTCAGTAAGTTCTCTTCTACTTAAGGGCAGGAGGTTTTTTTAAGGTACAAAGCATGATGCCAGATTATATATTTATATATAGAATTTCTTAGGTATGTCCACCTGTTTTAGATATGCAACTTTAGATAGTGGGAATATGAGTCTTTACTGGTTCTTCAAGATTTTGAAGATGTCTTAAACTTCACTAGAGAATAAATTAGTTCTCAGAATTGAATTTAGAAGTCTTTTGGCATGTGGTTTTTAAGGTCTTTGAGAAAATGAATAGTCCTGATGTTTGTTCTGTTACATGTTAGTATTTTAATTTCAGTTTTGCAGACAGAAGTGAAGCTCATAAGTAATTTGCTCAGTTTTGCAAAGAGAGTTGGGAATATAACGCAGACCTTGTGTCACTTCAGCTTTCAGTTCCAATTTTAATAAATTCTTTTAGAAATTCCAATTTTATGCCTGAAATCTTGAAAATAAAGATCTGTAGAACTGAAAATAAATTTCTTTTAACAAAATACATTTCTTTTAACAAGTGCCTTCGCTCCTTGGCTGCTAATGATTCTATGAATGCTTTAAGGTTGGAAAATGCCTCAAATGTTGAGTCCAGCCTTTGACCAAATGCCACTGTGCCAGCTCATCTGTATTGTGAAGTGCAGTTGTATTTTGAGCACTTCCAGGGGTGGGGACTCCATCGCTTCCCTGGGCAGCCCATTCCAGTGCTGAACCTCTCTTCCAACCTAAACCTGCTCTGAGTGCTTTTCAATGGACATTAGTCAGGTACTTCAGCAGAGCAGATTTTAGGAAATGATGGTTGTAATTCATGCTCACAAGTCTCAGTGGCTGATTTAGGGTACCAAAACTAGAAAAAAAAGGTTTCTGAAGTCAGCAGGAAAAGTCAGGTGTGTCCTGGAGCAGTGCAGAGCACTTGGAGTGGAGTCTGAAGTAGATGGCACAATTGCCTAATAAATGTGCATGTTTGAGTCTGCTTGTATGGCTATAGATGGGCTTGAAATGAAATCCCAGAGCTTGAGTGCATCATTTTCCATATGTTGTCCACATACTGGTTTTGTTTGTTATAATTTGATTTTTTTCCGAACAGCTTACACTGCAGGGCTCCTTATTTATCATTGTGTCCCATGCACTGTGATTTTGGTGGATTTTTCACACTGAAATATCACTGGTGTGACTCAGTTATCCAAGCCAGTTATCCAGCTTGGTCCTTACTGCTCATGTTTCCACTTAATTCACAAGATTTAGCTCAGTTTAGCTTCAGTTATATCCTCTGAAGTGCTCTGGAGTCTTCAAATTGACCAGAGAAATTGCGTGGGCACTGCTTGGTGTGTAAAATCCAGCTTCTCAAACAGCTGAGTTCTGTATTTCTCCAGCCAGTCAGCACAAGGCAATGATAAGGAACACCTTTGTGTTTTTCATGGTGCCATGGTGGAGGAGAAGGGTTTCAAATCTGTCAGCTGTGCTGGCCAGGTCACTCAGGATGGGATCTGTGTTTAATCAGCTCTTTGGGAATAAACACACAGAAGCTCTGCTCAGCCTTTTGGTCAAAGGAATTTTGGTTATATGTCAGCCAGGAAGTGAGGAAATCAAAAGTACAGCAGAGTTCATGGAGTCCTCTATTTTCAGTCCCTTAGGAGGAAAACAGAATGTACATGAGAAAAACATCAATTAACTGTTGTGTCACTGTGGAAGCAGATCCTGGATTTGTGAAATACACAGTGGCCTAAAATGGTAGTGAAGTGGAAACCAGTGCAACTTTTAGTTGTATCTAGAAAAGATCTTTGCATACACAGCTTCAGAATACCTAACATTTATGTAATTGAAAATCTGTGCTAAGTGATCCAGCTGAATCTTTAATAGAATTACCTCATGAATGAATTTACTCATATGTATGGAAATGCAAAACCTACTTGCCTGTTCCTATTGTTTGAAAGTGCAGACTTATTTTTAGCAGAAAAAGAAATATCTGGATGAATGAGGTAATATTTTGTAAGGCTGTTATTAAGGAAGAGGCACACGTCACAGATTTGTACCAGCATAACTGCAAAATTCATGCTTGCATTCCTTCATTTTAGGGAAGATTTTTTATTTGTTGTAAATGAGAAATTTTTATATTAGTGTTTTAAAAGGGAAGCTGGTTTAAGTCTTGAAAAATCAATATTCTTGTATGTAATTATTTTGATACTGAATGGAAATTTAAGAATAGAAGAGAACAAATAGAACACTATGTTGTACAATATATGAATAGAGTTGTTTACATTTCTTCTGAATGTTGGCTTAGGCATGTGCTAATGGGAAAAGTGGGAAAATGGATTATTTTTCGTAAGAGGAAAATGCATTTGTTTGACTAAATTCTTGAAGTTACTTTACCTTTGGTTGAAAATTGGAAAATACCAAGTATAAAGAAAGCTTTTAGCAGTAAATTTTTAAAGTGGACTAAAAGTATTATTTGAGACAATTGTGATAGCTGGTCTCTAATCAGAAATATTGACAATGTGCTGCTTGCTAAAAGCAAAAATCAGAACTCTTAAGATTTTACCTCTTTCAGTTATCAGAACCCATTTTTGTGAAGTCAGCTTTAATGTGCAGTGTCTCTAGGGATGTGTGTCATGTATTTAAATGTGTCAGTATGGTCAGGGGTTACAGAAGTGCTTTGCTTTTCTGCTGGTGGTTTAGATGTGGATAACCATTTTCTTAGTTTGTTGGCAGATAATATCTGTCTGTGGACAGATTTTTTTTCTAACTGTCTCAACCCCCCCAAATATTGACTTTAAAATTATTTAGGAGGTTCTGCTTAAAAGTGTCGGTGTGGCAGGGGTATTTAGACTTTCTCAGCCATAAATGTAGCCAAACCAGCAGAAGGAAGAGACAGGTTGTTGGTTTGCTGTTGACCCCCTGGTTTTCCTGTCCTTCCCTGTCCATCCTTTTGTGCTTCACCCAGAGGAAACATCTCCTCCTCCCAAGTGTAGGTGAGAAGGTGGTGTGGAGTTCATGGCTGCAGGCTCAGGGACAGCACTCAGGGCGTGAGTTGTGTTCCTGCCAAAGCCAAGGTCGTGGTGCCACTGAAGACCCAAAAGCCTCTGCTTAAATCCATGCTGACTTTAAAATTTGAAACCCCTACTGACATTCTTAAAATCAGTCATGGGCTTTAAGTACCTCCTTGAATTAGAATCAGAATTGAGAGCTGGGAGTGATGAGAAAAGCCTGGGAAGAAATCAGCTAGTGAGAAGCTTGGTGTAGGAAATGTGAGTGGCACAGCACGAGGGGGATGTGATGCAGCACCTTGAGACGGGAATGGAAGTTGGTTGGCAAGTTGTCAGTGCCATTCCACAGCTAACCAACGTTTTATCGTCCCCTCTGCCCCCGCTCTAGGATTTCTGTCCCTGAGTCATGGCAGACAGAAGACCAGAGAAGGCATGTGAACAAGCATGTGAATGCCTTAAGCAGCAGGATTATGAAGTGGCAGTGAAGCATTGCACTGAGGCTCTCCTTTCCCTCAGCCAGTACCCCCCAGCTCACCTCCCGGAGCCCTGCCAGGCAGAACTCGACCGCATCAAAATCGAGACTCTTCTGTATAGAATTGCTTCCTTTTTACAACTTGTGAGTGTCACTCTTTATAGTATCTAGTGAACTGGGAAGAAAAGTCAAATATCTGCTATTGTCAAGATTTAAATACCACTCAGAATTTTTGGCATGTTGCTCTGCCCACAGAATCCCTCTTGCTATAGCATCTGTGAGGTTTCTGTCTTGTAGCTCTCCCTGATCCGTTTATTTTTCAGCATTTGATTTCCTGCACCTCTTGGTTTGGGTCTCAATCACAGTTTTCTAAAGAAATAAGGAAAAATACTTCTAAAAATTAAAAAAAAAATATATTCCAGGAAAGCAAAATATCTGGGTTAAGGTACATATGCTGAATTACATACCAGATTACCTTATCTTTTAAGAGCATCAAATTAAAGTTTCTGCAAATAAAAACACCAAAAAACAAAGTTAAGAAATGCCAGAATCTAGGTAGCTGGTTCATACCTGCTTTAGCTCCATTTGCATAGGTCTAAAATTATTCTGTTTATGCTTAATCCCAGCTTCCCAAGGCTAGGCTGGAGCACACCTGGAGAAAGATGTAACTTTTAGACTCTGGCAAAAGGTGAAAATGGCTCTTGTAAAGGTTTGTAAATGCAAAGCAAGAGCCATAACCCTGAATTAAAGGTGACCCCACTGCCAAAGTTGTGTCCTTGCTTTAAAGCATCAGAGCTACAGTTTCTTAAAGGAAAGGACATTTCAGTGCTTAAGAATAAACCTACAACTTGCTTTTTCTTACCTTTCTGAAATGCTATTACAGATTTCCAGCAGCCTTGTCCACTCCAAATCTTCATATATTGAGTAGGAGCAGTTTCATCCTAGGTGGAAAAAGTTTGGCCAAGTCACAAGGCCTTGCTGGGCAGCTTTAAGACCAATTTTGCCCATCTGATTTAGGGAGTGTTTTTAAGCATTCTTTAAATAAATAGCTGGATTGGACTATTCAGTGTGCAAAATAAGAATTGGGAAACCTCTTAAATGAAGAAGTGACTTATGGCTCCTCAGGGGAAGAGATTCACAAATAAGTGAGGTTGGATTTTCTAATAGAAGTTGTGTTATCACAGACTTGACCTCTCAAAATGATTTCTGTAAGCCAATGTGCAGATTGGTGCTTGGATTATTTAATGCATTTCTGACATCACTCTTTGAAAATCCTCTGAGGCACCTATCTGGATGTTCATCATATTATTGCAGTGAGTCTGCAGAGACTTTGGAAAAACACTTGAAATCAAAACCTTCCTAATAAAGACTTGGATTACATAGATACGTAAAGTCTTAAAAGAGGAAAACAATCCAAATGTTCCTTCTTGTTTTATTAAACAAAGTAATCTTTAAAATCACTACTGAAAAGACAGAATAAAATAATCTTAAAATTGAACATTACTGTTTTAGTGCAAGATTAAAAACCAAACAGTGTCTTGAAAGTTAAGTTTTATATTTTTCCTAGGTGTTGTGAGCCAACCACAAACATCCAACACACACACACCTTTGCCTTTTCAGGCTCCTTTTTAAAATGTCCACATGCTGAGAATTTGGGAAAAAGTCAGCATTTTAACTGAGAATTTGAGAAAAGGTCAGAAATTAGTCTTAATTCTAAGAATTAATTATATTATAATTGACATATGACTTATGTTCTTTACATGTTCTACCCAGGAAAAGACAAGGTAATGGTTTCTAAAAAGTTTTTAAAAACTTGTAATTCAAGCATGTAGTTGTTTATGCTAACTGGAATAATGCTATTTTTAAACTTTTCATGTTTTACCTTTCAGAAAAAGTATGGGCAAGCAGATGAAGACTGTAGGCATGGTATGCTTATTTCTTTTTTTATTACATAGTGTTATGAATTGCAGTCAGTTGTCTGAATTTTTAAAACTGATGCCCAGATTTGTTAGTTTGCTAACAGTCGTTTTTTCCCTATTTAAAATTATGTATCTGCTTTATAATACTTTTTCTGCTTTTTTTTTTCCCCTTTCTTTTTCCCTTAAAGAGAGATGTCACTATTTTTCAGCTCTTACTCAAATACATGTTTTTGGCTCAGAGGTGCTATTGGGCTAATAGTTATTTTAGTGCACAAATGTAGGAAGAGTTGATAATGTCAGGATTCTCACAAAGACACAAAGCTGATTGTTCTGCCTTTCTTCCCAGGGACATGGTGGATATTTTGGGTTGCATTTGGGACTTAGTTCAGAGAAAATCAAGATGATGCACATTTGTTAAAGCTTCCAAATGTGCCTATGTCACATTGAAGTCGAGCCTTTCATGTGTCACTGCCTTGCTCAGTTTGGGTATTTTTGAAGGAATTTCAAAAATTCCTAATCCTCTGTTGTTCATTTATAATGCAAATTATTCAAAATTCACTGAGAACTCACTGGGTTTGCAGAGTGTTGAAACAGAGTTTATCAATTAGATTTGGAAAGTAAAGTTGGGTAGATCCCACTTTTTGGTTTTAATTCTTTAACTACTCCTGAATGTTAAAGGAAATTTTTTCAGGTGACAGTTTTGTTGCACAGACTGTGTTCTACTCTTCTGACATTCCTATGCTAGCAATGATAATCTTTAAATTGTTCCTTTCTGGGTTGGTGGGTTTTATATTGTTTTGGGTTTTATATTGTTTTGGGGTTTTTTAATGTGCTTGTCTTCACTGATAGTCAAATCCTGGTTTGGGGACTTTGTGGGGCTCTGCAGGCTGCTTGTGAAGGTCCATCAAAATTGACTAAGAAAAATCAACTTGATTTCTGTAGGTGTAAAATTAAAGTTTAACACCTTTTAAAAAGTCTAATTGTTGCTTAATCAGTATAATTCTTGAAATAGTCTGAAATGTAAAAAAAATTTCTTTTACCTCATTGATGTGTGCTATAAGGGGTGTAATATTCTAACTTCAGAGTTGTCTTTCATGATGGCAAGTAAAAGTGAGAGACATTAGAAAGCTGAATGATGGTTCAAGGAGGTGGGAGGGAGAATGCTGTTTTTAATGAGCAGTGTTCTCATCAGTGAGCTCTGATGGGTTTGTCATGGGGGACAGGGGGGACTTTCATCTGTGGGACTTCTCTTGGTGTGTGTGTCACTTGTCAGTGTCTCAAAGGAACTGCCATGGCAGCTGCTTGTCATCTCTCACTGGACAGGCACAGACGTGGCTGGAACAGCACCATTGATGTCTATCTTCTTTTTTTAATAGAAAAAACAGCCTTTAAATGTATATTAGTTAACAAAGAAATAGCATCCAGATTTATGTTAATTTACTTCATTCGTGCCAGCATGTTCTGCACATGTTATTTCCCAGATCTAAAACTGAGGACAGTTTTGAACTTACTAATGCCATATTTATGTATGTGTATAAAAGTGTTATCTATGTGTTTATATATTAAAAATAAATAAATAAATATATTTATGAATATATTAATGAATGATTTGGTTGTGGTTCTCCATGATGTGTGGTTATCAATTGTAGCCCAGCACCTGACATTCAGAGTATCTGCATTTATGATCTTAGTTTTGGTTTTATGTTTGAATTATTGTCGGAAAGAAAATGCCTAACATGGGCTACTTGATACTCACACTCCTTGGTACTCACAGGTTTTTTATAATGGGCAAAGCTTTATTCAAGCTGCTCTTCTGCCTTTTTACAAGACCTGACATGTTGCACAGCTGTGATGGTTTTATTTGAACCTGAATGATCAGGGTTTTCTGGAATAGCTGGAGAAATACGAGTTCTTTATAGTTCTTTAGATGTTCTTCTGTATGCTGCTTGCAGGGTTATAGGGAATGGTGATAACTTAAAATCTGTTAAATTACTCCACAAATCTTTCCCCAGAGAGAGTGCTTAATGTGTTGCAACTTTTTATGTGGAACTGTATATTTTAGCAGGGTGATATTATGCAGATAATGATATGAAATATAATAATTGGAGATTTATATCTTATATCTTTATATTTGTGGAATATATTAATTGGAGATTTAATATTTGAGATTAAAATAGCAAGCTGTCAGACATGTTAAAGCTATTTTTGGTGCTTCTGCTTCTGATTTGGGAAGTGAGTTCTATTTTTAGCAATGTGGTCTGTACTACCAGAGTGGTGAATTCAGACCAGGCTTTGAGGCACTTTATGGAAGCAGATTTAGTTACCATTGCAGTTTGCAGAGATGCCTGTTGTTTTTATTTATTTATTGAGTCTTTAGTGCCATTTCTGTTGATGATGTGAATGTCTGTTGAGTGAGGAGTTCTGATTTATTATTCTAAAATGCAATCCTGAAGTTGTGGTGAATGTGAAATTCCTGGTACACTGAGAGGGGCTGTTTGCATCTGCATGAGTAGCAGTATAAACACAGATGTTGATGTTGCTTGCAATAACAGTTATTCTATAATTCCTTAATTTTAAACAACTGTCCAGCCTTCTTTTCAATTCACACCCGTAGCTTGCTAAGCTTTTTAGTCACTGTGGCATTGCATTTTGTGGACAGGTAACCGGTGTGGTGAAGTGTTATTGCAGCTTGTCTGGAGCACGTCTGTGTGGTGAAATAAATCTGTCCCTGCCGCAAGTTCACAAAGTGTCTGTTTGGCACCGCTGCTGCTGCTCCCGTGCTAGGCAGCCTTCAGAAAGTTTTCTGTTACAGGGAGCCTGTAAATTTCTGGGCTCAGACAATCGTTCCTATATGCCACACTTTGCAGCATAAGTGAATAAAAGGCCTTTTAGAGGAGCAGGAATTGCCCATGAGGAGGTTGGCTATTTTTGGAAACGACAGGGCATGTGTTTTGTGAGCATGAATGGATCTTCCTGAGCATGTTTGTGTTACTGAGAGGTTCTTGGTTGCTGTTTCTTTTTTACCCTTTCTGTGAGAGGAGGTCCTTTGTGTCTGTGTCAGATATTTGAGTTTACCCTTCCCATATTTAATTTATGTCTATTTTAGCATGTAAACATGACAACCTTTTTTGAGCTCATGTGCAGCATTTATGAGCTGGTGGGAGACAAGCTTCAAGTTAATATTAGACAACAACACAAGATTTTAATTTACACCCATCAAGCCATGGATTTAACCTGAGCTTCAGACTTTGTTTTCTTGTTAAGGGTGAAGGAAAACTATATGTCTGAGTGAAATGGGTGGTGTGCTGAGGTAACAGTGGCTGATTTGTGTTGCAGTGCTGGGAGAGGGGCTGGCCAAGGGCGATGGATCTCTGCGGGCAGTGCTCTGCTGCATGCATCTCAAAGGGAAGCTGCAAATTGTGTCTAATGTTCTTTCCAAATCACTGATGGGGGAATCACTGGTAAGTGGGTTTGCTGCAATCATTTAAAGAAACAATTTTGTATTTCCTTCTTGTAAAAAGTCTGTTTAATAACAAACGTCCGAACATATGTTTCGCTGGCAGCTTGCAACAAAAATGGTTTATGTGGAAATGATAAATATATGGGCACACAGATATCACCAGGATGCCAGGTTGTTGCATAACCAGTGTTTCAGAGTAGTTGTGATTTTGAAAAGTTTTTTCATTGCTGGCCCTGAATCCTCAGGGAATGTAAAATAAATTTGCATATTTGTGTGATTGACAAGAATAATATAAATCTCAAACTTTTCCTTGCTTATTCTAAATTGTACCTGACCCCATTTTGTATGGACTTCAGGAATTCTGTCCATTAAAGCAGGAAAAAATATTGATTGGACTTTTAAATAACTGGCCCATGATAACTAATAAGACACCATAAAAAGCTTTTTAGGAAAAGAAAAAAAGCTTTACATTTCAAGATGGAGATAAAGGCTTGAGTTCAAAGCTTCTAGTTTACTCTTAAACTGTTAAAACTTGTAAAGATGCTTTTAACCCCAGACATGTAAGTAACTTCAGACTTTTATGTGACTATTATATGGGTAAATGAGGGACATATGTAAGCCTCTAAAGAAGTGTCCTTTTAATTTCTGTAGTCTGGATTAAAGAGGCAGTGAGTTCATCAGCATGAACTGCTGGAATTAATACACCCAGAAACCTTGGTCAGACTGAGGGGAATGTGTGACATCAGAAACTTGCAGGAGAGCCTCTTACCTTGAGATTGGATGCTGCTGAACTGAGTCAGGAGGTTGTTTGTCAGAGTTCTGTTTGTCTGTCTGCTCAGTATCCTGAATTCCCTTCCCCCCAGCCATTGGCTATTTTTACATAAAGGGTTTTTTTTTTCTTTGTTTAGCTGTTTTCTCATGAAAAAAACGTTTCATTGAAAAATTCCTGGTGAGGTTGAAGGAAACTTGCCTTCAGGAAAAATGAGTAAAATAGTCTTATTGCAGGGAATGTGGAGTGCCCTTGTTTTGAGCTGTTGTTGTGCAAATAAAGGTACCTTTGTTTGGAGTTCCTGAGTGTCATCCCAAAGCGGGGTTTGAGAGGTTTTTACAAGCTTTAGGTTGTTAGACACAGTTGTTTTCAGTAGGAATATTAAAATCAGCAGCTGATTTACTGACTGTGCCATTGTCTGAAAAAAGAAGTGAAACAAAGTTTTGGAATGAATTTATTGAAGAGTTGGAATCCATCCAGTTTCCTCCCCAGTGGCTAAAGAGAATGATTCTTGGTAATGTTTTTTTGCTCTGTTACATTTAAGCTCAACAAGTTCAATTTTCAGCCTTCTGCAGAAAAAGTGAAAAATCATTTTGGAAAAAGCCTTAAGTGTGAGGATTGTTAAGTGTGTAAGTTTTGAGCAAAGAGTAATTTCTCCTGCTCAGTAGCACAGTCTGAATGTGGAGAAGGCTAACAAATGTAGTAGTACTTAATTAAATTTCTGCCAGAGATTATTGAAATAAACCCCACAGGTCTGGGTTCCTTTAATCAAAGTTTTGACTTACAAGAGTGTGAAATTTTACAAATACCTATGTATTTCACATAAATTCAATTTTGAAAGATTTTTACTTCAATTGTACTTGACTATGGAGTTAGTCACATGGCTAACCTTTGCTTTTGAGGGAAAACTCCAAAAATTGCACAGTCTACATCAGAGCAGGAAGAGTTATGGAGCTGCAGAAAGTAAAGTAGATCCTTAAAAAGAAATGAATCCATCACTGCAACAGCAGTGAAAGATTATTACAATAATTCTTCAGAGCTGAAGTGTTGCAGTGACCATGGTATATTTTTTTCCTCAAGTTCTTGTTAATATGGTGATTTCCTGAATTGTCCTGTATTGGTACTTGCTGTAAGTCTAGTGCTGGTTTGGCCATTGTGGTGAAAAATTCCCTTTTTCTTCACAATGTTTACTCAGTTTTATTTAGTGTCATTTCAAATTGGTGCTGTAAGCCAAATTCATTTTTATTTCTCCTGGTGTTGAGGGGGAAATGAACTTGGTTGCTGTGGTTTAATGCAATAATGAAGGTTTATTTGTTTAATAATTAATATTCTTTCTGCCCCCAGAACGGGATGGTAACTAAAGATCTCACACGACTGAAAACACTTCTTGCTGAAACAGAGGTAATGATGAGGATATTGTTGGGAAATAATGAGCAGGACCTGAAGCTTCCCATGTGTCCCAGGAGATCCAGGCTCACTGGAACAGGCTGCTTCAAAAATTATTGTTTCTGCTGTGTTGGTCTTTACCCAGCAGCCTCTTCAGGAACTTTTCATCACAGTCTTGCAGGATGTAGGAGAAAATAAAAAATGATGCTAATAGGTTGTTGATTCCTTAAGTAGCAAGTAGAAAGAATTCCAAGCATTTAGATCTGCAGTATTTATTTATTTATCTATCACATTTTTCTCTGTTGGAAATTAGTCTGGAGTAATAAACATGACTTCAAAAATTTTTAAAGATTATAAATACCTTCTTAACCACCTTTTTTTCTTTCCTTTTTTTTTTTGTACTGGAGGTCAGACTTATGTCTGCTGATTAAATTGTCCCCTCTCTTTTTTTTCTTTATGCTTAGTCATTTATTTGAGCTTTATTTTTATTGTAGATTGAAAGCTGAAAGACTTAGCAATGTAGTTTTGTTTTAGTGTTTCAGAAATTCACTGCAGTCCATGTTGAGTTGATTGTAGGGTGGAATTTGGTCTTATAAAAATCTCTAAAAGTTTTTTCTAACCAGTTGACTTGGTGTTACTGTCAGAATTCCTGTTATTATCAGAATCCCTGTTATCAGCAGGGTTTGTGACTGGAAGTAATTTCAACTTATGATTGATGTTTTTTGTAATAATTTGTCTAAAACCCATTTTGACAGCAGTTCTTGTTGATGAAATTTGTTTGTGTTCCTTTATAACTGTGTGCTTTTTTATATAATTGCAGGCAGCTGGTAAAGTACCATCAGGATATCATGTAGAAGATTTAGAAGAAGGTATGTAACTCCATTTTAAATGATAATTTCCTAGTGAGAAGACTTGGATCCTGCTGAATGCTCAGCACTGCATTGCAGGCAAAAAGCAAAAAAGGGACTTGACTGTTGTGATGAGCTCCAGTGAGGTAGAATTATCTCAATGTTGACTGAATTTGGAGGCAGAAGTTTCTGTTTATTGACCAGGGGGCTGTATCAGAGCCTGCTGCCTTCTGCAGATGGTTTGAAATCCACCTTCACCACCTTTGCTCTAAATGAGCTTATCATCCATTGTAAATCAGTTT